CGGAGGAAAATTCGACTCATACCGGAGGAAAATTCGACTCATACCGGAGGAAAATTCGACTCATACCGGAGAAAAATTCGACTCATACCGGAGAAAAATTCGACTCATACCGGAGGAAAATTCGACTCATACCGGAGGAAAATTCGACTAATAACGGAGGAACTACATTAACAAATAAATGGCAAAGTTAAGATGGAGTAATTAAGGTCGTAACAAGGAGGTCAAAGGTCACAGAATCAACCCCCCCCCCCTCCATCAAGAGGAGTCAAGACCTGGATTCACGAAGCAATTACGCAAGTACTTACGAACCTGTACATCTTTCTTCAATCTTTGACGGCTTTGGTTACATTTATTAAACGGTTTACAAGCATGAAAACTTGCCATTCAACTGTTGTTATTGTTATAAACAGCCTCCTGGTGCTTCGGAGCTCATTAACTGTTTAAAATAATTGTAAACAAAGCCGCCAAAGATTGAGAAAAGATGTACAGGTTCGTAAGTGCTTGCGTAACTGCTTCGTGAATCCGGGTTCAGAGGAACAAGGCGCCGTGGCCCCAATAGAACTTTAAGGATCATCCCTGAGACAGTGATACACTCTTAGTCTGTCTACTATCCTTTATCCTTAAAAGGGGATTATGAATTTATCCCGTAAATCCTCGGATTTACGGGATAAATTCATATCCATGCACCTCTTGGGTAGCTTAATCTTCATCAAATCAATCAATCTGAGGATAGATGGCTATTTCGAGGATAGATTGATGGATTGAAGGATGATCGGATAGATGATCCGGTGGTTAGAATTGATAGCAATAGATGGGTGATAGACAACATGATAGCAATCACGAATATGAAGAAGCAAGAAAATCAACGAAGCTTCAACAAAACAAACATGAGAATGAATGAAGCGCTTCCAACCACACACCACAGCATGAATGAAGTGCTCTCAACCACACACCACAGCATGAATGAAGTGCTCTCAACCACACACCACAGCATGAATGAAGTGCTCTCAACCACACACCACAGCATGAATGAAGTGCTCTCAACCACACACCACAGCATGAATGAAGTGCTCTCAACCACACACCACAGCATGAATGAAGTGCTCTCAACCACACACCACAGCATGAATGAAGTGCTCTCAACCACACACCACAGCATGAATGAAGCTCTCTACGGTGGCCTCTACGAGCGTCAATGAACGTAGGAGTAACAGCAAGTACAAACCTAGTTGTACTCACCTAGTTGTGCTTGCGGGGGTTGAGCTTCGGCTCTGTAATCCCGCCTCTCAACTGTCAATCAACAGGTGTACAGGTTCCTGAGCCTATTGGGCTCTATCATATCTACACTTGAAACTGTGTATGGAGTCAGCCTCCACCACATCACTGCCTAATGCATTCCATTTACTAACCACTCTGACACTGAAAAAGTTCTTTCTAACGTCTCTGTGGCTCATTTGGGTACTCAGTTTCCACCTGTGTCCCTTTGTTCGTGTCCCACCCGTGTTAAAGAGTTTGTCTTTGTCCACCCTGTCAATTCCCCTGAGAATTTTGTAGGTGGTTATCATGTCTCTCCTTACTCTTCTGTTTTCCGGGGATGTGAGGTTCAGCTCCCTCAGCCTTTCCTCGTAGCTCATACCTCTCAGTTCCGGGTGGGTGGGTGAGCTAGTGAGTGGGTGGGTGGGTGGGTGGGTGAATGTGCTAGTGGGTGAGTGTGCTAGTGGGTGAGTGGGTGAGTGGGTGAGTGAGCAAAGGGGGAGTCAAGCCGTGCATTCCATAGTGTAATTTACTAATGCCCAGAGTTTTAAGAGCATGTGTTGCGTGCTTGCGTGTGCGTGTACACACCTAATTATGCTTGCGGGGGAGTTGAGCTTCAGCTCTGGTCTTCCGGCCTCTCTGCTGTCAACTAACCGACGTACAGGTTCCTATTGGGCTCTCTCGTAACTATATTGGAAGCCGTGTATGGAGTCTGCCTCCACCACATCACTGCCTAATATGTGTGTGTGTGTGTGTGTGTGTGTGTGTGTGTGTGTGTGTGTGTGTGTGTGTGTGTGTGTGTGTGTGTGTGTGTGGGGGGGGGGGTTGGGGGGGGAGGGTAAACAGCTGGAAGTGGTGACGTCACAGCTCCCCCCCCTCTTAGATTGGTTATCAAGACCCACGTGACGTCACATATCATTGTTCTGGTGTATATAAAACTGTTGTGTCAAGCGTGGTGCACTGCCATCACCCCCCCCCCGCTGCCAGCGCCTAGCCGCACCGCGACTCCACCACCAATACGTCGGGGGATTGAACGCCGACCTGCATGAAGCGAGGCCGTCGCTCTACCGTCCAGTCCAAGCAGTGAATAAAGCCCAATCACTGACAGGTTAGACTGGGTATTATAGCCCTTATAGCCCTACAGTGACGTACCTCTATAGTGAGGCCTACAGTGACGTACCTCTATAGTGAGGCCTACAGTGATGCAACTCATCCTCCTGAAATTATACTGTATTCTACTTTTTGTAACTTTGTGGTAGATCGTATCAATATAATAATAATAATTCATTCTGTCGGGGGACAGGCAGACAGAGGGTAGTCATACACGTTTAGACTTTGATCGAGCTCCCCCCCCCCACACCCCCACAAGGTCGAATTACTCACCCCGCCCAGGATGAGTCCCCCATAACAAGCTGACTAGCTCCTGGGTACCTACTAACGACTAGGTGAACAGAGGCATTAGGTGAAGGGAAATGTGCCCAACCACATCTGTCCCGCCCGGGATTTGAACCCGGAATTGTCGATTGCGAGTCGAGAATGAAGCCAACTATAGTACTGGGGATCAATAGATAGTAAGTCACTTCTTGTACTTTTATAGATTCCGGAAAAAAAAGGATGGACGAATTCTCCTGATGGATTCCATCCCTTCAAGAGGATGGAATTACTCTTCCATCCCTTCAGGAGGATGGAATTACTCTTCCATCCCTTCAAGAGGATGGAATTACTCTTCCATCCCTTCAGGAGGATGGAATTACTCTTCCATCCCTTCAAGAGGATGGAATTACTCTTCCATCCCTTCAGGAGGATGGAATTACTCTTCCATCCCTTCAGGAGGATGGAATTACTCTTCCATCCCTTCAGGAGGATGGAATTCCTTCAATTAAGTGTCTGGATTACCTGCTTGATGGAGTTCTGGGAGTCCTCCTACTCCCCCCCCCCAAGCCTGGCCTCGGGTGAGAGCTTGGTCCACCAGGCTGTTGCTAGGAGCGGCCCGCAGGCCCACATACCCACCACAGCCCGGTTGCTGGGTATCCACCCCTGCCAGTGGTTGCTATGTCAACCACACGACTGTTCACCACCACGCAGCCAACACCAACTTGCCAATTACGAGAGACATGCCCCTGCCAATTAAGAGAGACATACCCCTGCCAATTGTGTCGTTTGTCGCAGCGAACGACTATTGAGAGCAAAATAGCCAATCCCAAATTCCTGGCATTCTGATTGTCGCTTGCTCTCCGGTAAGGCAAGCAGTTGTGAAATCAACCAATAAATCAGACGCATTCTGTTGGAATCAGTAAATCAACCAGATTCCGGTTCTCCTAGAAGTCTTATTTGACCAAGGCGAACGACCAACGTAGGAAATTTGCCAATCAAGAAGGACAATCTGTCGCATTGATTGGCATTGGATTCTAGCGAGGCGAGTTAGAAAACAGAGTGAAAGTAGATGATCTACGATCTTGTGTTGAGTGAAAGTAGATGATCTACAATCTTGTGTTGAGTGAAAGTAGATGTTCTACGAACTTGTGTTGAGTGAAAGTAGATGATCTACAATCTTGTGTTGAGTGAAAGTAGATGCTCTACGATATAGTGTGAAAGTAGATAGTAGAAAGTAGAACTGATATGTTTAAAAAGTCCTTCAGTAATTTTATCCTGGGATATGAGAGTCGGTTAAAGATTGTGGTTCAAAACGTTGCTAGGATTTAGTCGCAGCCAATCAGAAGCGCGCGCAGCGGTGACGTCACAGTCGACACACTCGGCTGATTGACAAAGCAACCAATCAGATGCGCGCGCAGCGGTGACGTCACAGTCGACACACTCGGCTGATGGACAAAGCAACCAATCAGAAGCGCTTAAACGGCGTCTGCGTCACAGTCGACACACACTGCTGGTGAACACAGCAGCCAATCAGAAGGCCCATGCAAGCAGACGTCACATGTTAACATTGAAATCACCGGACAAAACAAGCCATCAGGACCCACCACACAGACGAATTCACAGGGATGCAAATGAGGCAGGGAAAGGGAGGGTGGAGAAGGAATAGGGGGTGTGGGCGAGAAGAGGGAGGGTAGAGGGTGGGGAAGGGGGAATGGAAGGTAGTGTTCTGAAATAGCTACTGGATAGATGGATGGGTGGGGGGGGGAGGAACAGGGTGTGTTGGAGAGAGTATAGGTGTGGGAGGACAAAAAGGGAGAGGGTAGGGTGTGTG